AAACCCCTAATCATTTTAGTTGCCCTTTTCTGAACCCTTTCTAAGGCCAAAATATCTTTTTTGAGGTGAGGAGACCACATCTGTACACAGTATTCAAGATGTGGGCATACCATAGTTTTATACAGGGGCAGTAAGATTTTCCGCATCTTATTTTCTATTCCTGTCTTTATAATTCCTAGAATCCTATTTGCCTTTTTGACCGCCGCTGCACACTGTGTGTAAGTTTTCAGAGAACTATCCACGATAACTCCAAGATCTCTTTCCTGATTTGTCATAGCTAAATTAGCCCCCATCATACTGTATGTATAGTTGGGGTTATTTTTTTCAACGTGCATTACTTTACACTTATCCACATTAAATTTCATTTGCCATTTTGTTGCCCAATCACTCAGTTTGGTGAGATCTTTTTGATGTTCTTCACAGTCTGCTTCTGTCTTGACTATCTTAAACAGTTGAGAATCATCGGCAAACTTTATTATCTCATGCTTACCCCTTTCTCCAGATCATTTATGAATATGTTCAACAGGATTGGTCCTAGGACTGACCCTTGGGGGACACCACTAGTTACCCCTCTCCATTCTCAAAATTTACCATTTATTCCTACCCTTTGTTTCCTGTCTTTTACCCAGTTCTCAATCCATGAAAGGACCTTCCCTCCTATCCCATGATAAGGCTCCAGGCTTGCACTAAAATAGTTACTACCACTATTTGTGACCTTCTGTTTGCCTATGATTGTGCATTGAAAGATGCCCAGGAGCTTTTGGATCACTTTGTTACTTCTGCTCACTGTTTTGGACTCACAATGAGCCTCAAGAAGACAGAAGTTATGCCTCAGCCTGTCTACTGCTGCTAGCACAATCCTTAAAGCAGTTGACAAATTCTGCTACCTGGGAAGTGTACTGTCCTCTAGCATAACTGTGGATCATGATGTATCTGCTCAACTAGCCAAAGCCAGCACTGCCTTTGGAAAACTGACCAAACACCTATGGAATGACCATGGTATTAAACTCCATACTAAGATAGCGGTTTATCAGGCAGTTATCCTGAATGTCTTGCTCTATGGCTTGGAGTCATGGACAATATATCATTGCCATGTTTTGAAGCTTGATCAGTTCCATATGGGTTGTCTGAGGAAGATTGCCCATGTGAACTGGTGGGACAAAATTCCTAATATGGAGGTTCTTAAGCTATGTGGTGTCACGGGCATGGAAGCAATGCTTATGAACAGTTTTGCTGGATTGGTCATGTTATGAGGATGGATGATACACGGATACCAAAGATGGTCTTTTATAGCCAGCTTGCTCATGGAAAGCGCTCTATCGGTGGTCAATATAAGTGCTATAAAGACGTCTTAAAGGCCAATATGAAGTCATGCAGCATATCTCCCAATGATCTGGAAACTCTAGTTCAGGACAGATTGTCTTGGCAACAAACCATTGTACATCTTAATTGCTTTGAGAGCCAGCGTATCCAGGCAAAGCAGACATGTAGTCTAGACATACCCTATATGACTCCCTTCAGAGACTATGGCTTAGTGTGCACTTACCAGGAAATGGGCACTGTGAAGATCAAACTCTCAGTGGCTGATTTAGTGAATCATGCTCCCGTTGACTCCCGTACTCCACTGGAGCAAAAAGAGTAAGGGGGAGTTGATGGGAAAGTGGACACGCTGAAGTAACTAGAACTAAGGTACATGGACTCCAGCTATGCTATTCGCATAATTAGTTCTATATCTTAGTTCAACATTGCCCCTTAGTGTAGACTTGGCCAGTGTACAGATGCCAGTATGGAGTGATATGAGCTGTTCCACCCATCTACTGCCAAAACAGGACCAACCTGGGATGGGAAATTGTCTCAACCTACAGCTATATCATTTTCACCTTTTTTAAATGATGTCCTGATGTCCTATTCAGCATAGATGGTCTT